ATGAAGCTGACTTACTAAACATACACGTAACACAGTAAGAATTTACTCTTTAGTTTTTTTCTTTCTTCTAAGTTATCTAAATTATAAAAGCTATATACAAGCGAGTATCTACTGATTTGTTTGTACATTTATTTGAAAACTTAAATCCCTACTTGTGGGCCACGCACGCTAGAGCGTCTGGAAACAACATTGCCTTCTAACATTTGGCCGAAGGATTTTAAGCTACGGCTGTCACCGTTCGAATCCTATATGATACGGCGATATCACGTTTCCGACGCCGGGATAGTCTGCATGCATAATGGCGACTGCTCTGAAACACAATGGACAAAGTGCAGGGGTACCATAATCGGTAAGGAAGAGACCGGGCTTGGTGTACACTGGGTCAATGCTCTCTTCGGCGCTTGTGACATTTTGTACTGACATGTCTTTTTCTGTGATATATTTTTTTATTATTTTCAATATGGTTGTTTGTGATTATTTCGTGTGTTTTTATGTTTATATTCTAAGGAAGGTGAAGGAGACGACGGGGAATCGGCGCTAATGACCACCTTGCGCAGACCTCACGGCCAAGAAGGAAGAAGTGGTGGTCGCTTGTTCCTCACTGTGGCCGAGAACGGTTGCAGGCTTTATGCCTTAGATGTCACTATCACCGTGGCGCTATCTTCGAGCTAGCAGCAACCCGTCAACGCCGAAGACCAGGTAATTATTTCAAAATGGGGCACTAAATGAAGCGTAACAAGCAAGAGCTACAAATAAGTATAAAGGGTCGTGTTTCCATTTACAGCTGAATACTACAACGGCCCCCCTTCCCCCTCCGTCTTCCTTCTCCCCACCTTCCCCAAATAAGTATAAATATATACGATCAAAAAGAAAAGAAGAAATTACGCATTGCCGAACGCTGACGTTTGGTCTAAAGATAGCGCTAGCGGTCCATGCCAATTTAAGACCTAACAACTATCCCATGAAAACAAATTATGGGTAATTTTCTGAAAATTTTAAGGGGAACATATGGGGCGCCCTTTCTCGGTAAATCGCTTCATTCAGCTCATTGTATTTGAGAGCTCCGTCAGTCACCATTTTTCCCATTAAAGGTTTTATAAAATCACATAACGTTTGATTAACATAACGGTTATAGTTTTGAAACGTTGACATTTTGTTGTAACCGCTAGCGTTACATTTCAACAAAAAAGAAGCGTTCGGCAAGGCCTGGATTTTTTGGGTGTCGTAAAAGCCCTGCACATTTCTTTCGGGGACACCCTGCACATATGTAAAGTACAGTAAATCGCATCTCAATTTGCCCATTTTTGTTTGCATCTCTTCTCTTCTAGACCCAAAAGTGAAATGTGGTGGTGCCTCCCCACACACAGATTACGGTGTGCTCTGTAGGCTTAAATGGCGGCACCGCTCTCACCCGCTTGATGGCCACGCCCGCCCTCTAGCCCACCTTACCACGAGCTGGCTCGGCCTCCCTAAAAAATACTACATGTTCTTCGCCATCTTGTGCTCTCCTCTTCGCAGCTTACCGTATTATCTCAACAATGTGTTTTCACCTTTAGCTTCAACTCCATTGATTCTGCGCTATCAATAAATAAATATAAACCTAATAAATAATTCATACCGGTCTCTCGACGGCAGTGATCATCCTTTCACTGCATCGCTTTCCTCAGGTGACATTTTCCCCGCCAAGTGGCTTCGTGTCAACCACGGTTTTGGCTACACAAGTGGCATTGATGTAGTTACTCAGTCCTAATGATATTTATTGTATTACGGAACAGGTGATCGAGAGCCGTCATGGGAAGAATGACGTTAACGGCATTCTAGAAGGAAGCTCGAACACTACACGAAGGAACAGTTTACAACCGCGAATCAATATCAGGGCGACAGATTTCCATATAAGTCAGAGATAAATGCCGAAGGCCACGGAGATCACGGCTCCAGTGTTTTATGATGCCATGAACGGTCCAGCGATGTTAGTTTTGTGAGGAACGTGATCTTATATACGGGCCTTCGGATGAGTCCTAAAGAAACACTCGTTCAGCGCTAAAAATAAAACTATTCGTGCCTGTAATAACAACATCGTAGTATGCATAAGTACTGGTCAGCAGGCCGACTGTGTCTATAAGTGTAAAAAGATGTAAAAAAATATAGGTGATAGATTGTGATTCACTGAGTGAAGGTACCTTCTGTTGCGTTGTTTGGTTACACTTTACAGCTGAGAACAAGATACGATATTCCCCCGGATATGGTTCTTTGCGATAATCTTTTTTGCCATTTGAATTAAAATGGCGGCATTTCTCGTTTATATATGTTTCTGCTTTTTGGTACGAACATCGTTTGTTGTGGAAACCACATAGATACAACCCTAGTCTTAAATGTCGATAATGTATCTAGCCGTGTGCAAATTCGCCAAAGGAATAGTCAGTAGCTCCAATATTTTTATACTTGTTCAGAGGTTTTTGAGATGCTACGCCCTGGTGTACGGAGGTTTTAGCTCAGTCAGCATAAACGATGCTACACCCCTTTCAATTTTCGTTATAAGAGACCACGACACTAAAAAAACGAAGAACCTGGCTTGTTTTTTTTTCTTTTTGGAAGGTTTGGATTCTTGTATCACGCTACGACAATGCTTCCCACCGATGATTTGTTTTGACAAGTTCGACAGAATGACGCAGTACATTCTTAGACCACAGATGCTAGAACAAACCCTGACATTCAAGCTTTGTCAGACGTTATATTGGTCGTCTCGTACAGATTTCGGGAGAATCAGTGAATATCGTTCACAGGTATATCAATGAACAAGCGCTATAAACGGGCAGTAGGTTTAATTCGTTAAGTAGATCTCATGGCTCGTTCACACTTGTGAACTACACATTCGCCGCCGACTGGATTCGCTCGCCGAAATAAGATCGGGCCGTTCACATTTGTTGCCGCCTTCGGAGTGCGCGGCGCGAGCGTCTCGCAGTTTCCCGAACAGACGAGAGCTGACGAGAGCTCTCAGACCTCCTCCTTGCCCGCGCGCGCGTCTCGTCGCCAGCTCGTCAGCGTTGTTCTGATCTCAGCAAGCGCCACTTCCCCGTGCGTTCTGATTGGCTTGCGGCGAGAGAAAACTTTTTTCCGGCGTTCAAAATTGGTCCTCCAGAGCGATCTTGCTCTCCGCCGGAGATTCTGCCTGCTTTCGTCGCCGGGCGTCAGAATTCTCACGGATCCGGCCGCCGGTTCGCAAGTACGAATGAGGCCTAAATGTCGGGCCTCCTTCCCAAATTACGTTTTTGATTACCGTCATTGGCGTTTTAATGCACATGTCAACGCTATTTTTGGGCTGAGAAAACGTTAAATGGTCAATGCAACAATATTGAATTAGAATGTTTCTCGGTTTACTCAAGCTTACTGGCATTAATATGACCCATGACTCGCGGCGCTACTGATCATAAACCCCATTTGTCGCTGTGTAACTTCAAGGATAAAAACGCACCTTTGCTTTAAATCTTTCCTTGGCGGAACCTGATGACGTAGTGTCAGGTGTCGCAGTGCTGAGGTATTCCCAGCGAATAGTCAGGGGGACGATAATAAAATTAAGCGCATACATTGGAAATGAACAGTGCGTGAGTTCTCGATATGAGCTTGTGACAATAAATGCATCAACAAGCATTCGGGTCGATTCGCTCTCGGGACGGCAATAGCCGAACCCTAGCAATGTCTCGAACTGAAAAACGTTCTTTGTGTTCTGCCAAACCCTAGCGACTTTCTATGATGAAGATTGGCGGCGTATAACTGGCCCCAGGTCACGTGACCGCTTGTTCTCGCTGCAAGTTATGGCCGTAACGTACTCGTGAATAAAAGCTTTGCTTTTCAATTTTTGTTGTGCGACTGCATTTGCATGGAGAGAAATACCATCGTGTGTTTCGCAGGTTATGATCGTCGAAAAGGGTTAATTCTAAGCGTTATTTAACGGAAGTACAGAAATCACCGCACCACCCGTTTAAGGACACAGTAAATCCAAATGCCATTAAAGAAAGAAAATTGGACATCACATCATTATTACAAATTGAGAGAAAATTTCAGCTGTTTCAACCACTTGGAAATAAAATTAATATTTGAAAGGTTTACGTGCCTGCCTCTGCAAGCACCGCTTTTGAAATAACTTGGCTACCGAAGTGAAGTACAAAAGATCTAGAACGATATATATATTTTTTTTAAATGTCAAGTACCGGATACAGCAAACATAACCTCATTTTTTTTTTTTATTTATCTTACCCTATCTCTTCGCCGCGTTGGAAGATTTCATGTGGTATAGGTGATTGTCGATACGACTGCGTTGCTGTCGAACGTCTCTTTATATATATATATATATACAAACACAGTAGTGTTGCAGTAAAGTTGTATGTCGTAGTCAAAAACCCGCTTCCGTCAGTTGGCTTACATTCCACATTCCTTTTTTTTTTTGTTTAGATATTTTCGGCCCTATTTTTTAATTTACACATCTCCGTTCTTCTTAAGTTGATTATCAAGAACAGAAACTACCTCCACATGTTATAGCTCGGTAGACGCCCTGGTCACGAATCAGACATGCATGTTCGCAGACATAGGGGCAACGTATCGATGTAAACCTCAGGAGTACAGTAACACTTCTTGTCTGTAAACACGTTCGTATTTGCATCCGGCCCTTGGTGGCTTGGAAGTGTTGCGATTATGTTTTCGGGACGTTTTTGCGAAGAACTTCAGTAGTCTTGGCCGATGTGGTGTTCAGCCCCATATGTGCGTGTCAGACAACCCGGCTTAGCGTTTTAATTAAATTCTTGCGAATATAGGAGCTACGACTAAATACGAGCTTGTTTCCTTTCCCTCGCATCAATATTGATATGAAGCTATCTATACAAATGCGCTAATGGCTTCCAAGTGGCATGCTAAAAACGAATCTATACGTGCAAAAAAAGACACAAGTTATGTCAATGAAACTAGCTAAAATTGACTCGTTCGATCGACATAACAGTGCCACTTACCCGCTGAAGGTCCGTTGATCAACCCGAAGCACAGTTGGTATCCGCACGTTCCAGTTGGCCCTTGTTCCCACCTCAACGTTGCCGACAACGCAAAATTTCCACATTAAAAAGAAGGAGAAAACATTTCGCTTTCTTTGGTCTTTTAGCGGTCGCCGGGCGATGTCGTTCCAAAGTGAGCGCCGCAGATTGTTTTCATTGCAGCGACGAACGTCGAGAAGGCTCCCGGCGTAGCACTCAGCACGTGGCACGGACGACACCGACACAACACGCCCTTTATGCGGCTCGGTGCGGCCTTTTGAGCATATGCGCGAGTCAGGCGTAAGCCAAGATATCCGCGCTAGGTGCCATATGCGTTCACTGGCTTTAGGCTCGGCGTTTGACTTCCAGCTTCTGACGGCGCCCTTCCATCATCGGCCGCTCGCGCGAACGTCGAACCAACTTCCCGTGCGTGGTCCGTAGAGTCTGCTGTGACGAGCAAGTTGTGAGAGAGAGAGCGAGAAAGGGGAGAGATCAGAGAAAAAGGCTGACGTCACATCACTGAGCGCGCACCCCGAACGCTCCCGCTGTCCTTTGGATAGCCGCGAGCGGCTGGCTATCTGTAAATGGCACGCCGTCTGCGACGGTTTGAGGGGCGAGCGTGTTGGGAGCTTTGCGGTGGCCACTGCTGCTGCTGCTCTTGCGAAAAGATATTTGCGGCATAGAGACACATTGCTTCGACATGGCGCGCTCGTTTGAACGTTCGATGTGTTCTAAATACAGCATTCGATTGGCTCTCTCCCGAGCGCCGAATGCAGAGTCACTTTTGATGGTGTGGCCGAGCATGGAGACACGCGCGACGTCTGATATTTAGCAGAAGAAAGATACTCCACACGATCAGGACACCTTCCACTGACCAGTAGAAAAAGATGGCGGCACGCGGACGACAGTCCCGGTCTCGAGTTCGGAGCAGCTCATTTTAGCGCCGCAGCCAATGATATTTCGCCAGTCGCCGATGCATGAATTGCAAAGAAAACGACTCACGAAGCAATGTCCTTCATCGTATTATGCCGCGCTTTGAATTTCTTTTTTTAGCTGTCAGCGACTAAAGTGAAATAATCTGTAGGGCTGGTGTCCGGTGTGACGAGCGTGCCGTTACAAAAGAAGGTCGCGAAAAACCGTGACGCAGCCGCTAAATTTAAGTAGTGAGGCTCATTTTGAGCATCGTAACGTGTGTTGTTTTTATCTGGAGTTTCTGTGACACGCTGCCAAAATAGAAGCCCGTTTAGGAATCGCTCTTATATCAAAATTAGCCTCGCGATGGTAAGTCGAAAGCTCTTAGGAAACGGTTATTTTTGTGACACGTGTACGAAATCCAGACACCTAATAATAAATATATTGGAGAGTTGGTTGGGGTTCCTAGGAGTGATTCTGAAACAAACTTGTATCTCGGGTAGACGTGCCGATATACTGCATTTGCTCGAATAATTGCCGCGCTGTTTATGAACAAAGTCTGCGGGTCGGCTTTGCTGCGGAGCTTGGGGATAGCGAATTGCCGGGCAGAAAAATGGCAGCAATTGTCGGGACAGATATAACGTCTTCACGCGAAAATGCTATGTGCTAATCTTATTTTTTCAGGATTATCGAGCTGTCCATCCTGCTATTCCCTGCGTTTATTCTTTGTTTATGCAGAACGCGATGATTGGCTGTGTGTGCGTTCTACAGGAAAGTAGACGTCACACTCTAAAAAAAGTCTGTGAGTCTTCTTTCACGCACAACACTCGGAGAACCAATCACCGCAACTTACGGGGGCAGCTCAGCGAATGACAATGCCGAAACATGTTTAGACCAAAAAACGCAGTCTGAGTTGTGACATCATGCAATGAAAAGCGTGACGCTTGCATCGCTTAAGGTCACAACTCAGGCTTCGTTTTTTAGTCTAAACATGTGTTTCGGCATCGTCATTCGCTGAGCTGCCTCCGTAAGTTGCGGTGATTGGCTCTCCGAGTGTTGTGCGGCAAAGTAGACGCACGGGCTTTATTTTTAGAATTCAGGGCCTCGGTCATAAGTGCGGCTATTACTCGAGCAAATAGGGTATCACATTCTCTCCTAACTTGAAATATGTCTCGCAACGGAATGTTCTTGTAATATTTTTTTGCGTCAAACTTCATTTTTTCGACAAACGTATACTGTCTGTATAGACAGTCAAAAAAATATATTTTGGGGGAGTTCAGTGTAGGAGCGATTAAACACAAATACTCCAAACGCGTGCGCATAAAAACCACGCTAGAAAACATCAATTTTTCCGATGGGCACTTTAACATCTGACCACGTCTACATACTTTGAGACATCGCCAACTCAGCAAGAAATGCGCCACCGTAAAAGAAGACCAAAACGAAAATCGTCAGCGGCCATTGCCACAATCACCCCACGAAGACAAACCAAGTACACTCAAAAAAAGCCCCTGCGTCTACTTTCCTGCACAACACTCGGACAGCCAATCACCTAAACTTACGGAGGAAGCTTGGCGAATGACGATGCCGAAACACATGTTTAGACCAAAAGGTGCAGTCTGAGTTGTGACATTAAGCAATGCAAAACGTCACACTTGCGTCGCTTAAGGTCACAACTCAGACTGCGTTTTTTGGTCTAAGCATACGTTTCGGCATCGTCATTCGCCAAGCTTCCTCCGTAAGTTAAAGTGATTGGCTGTCCGAGTGTTGTGCAGGAAAGTAGACGCAGGGGCTTTTTTAGAGTGTAGGCCTTGAAGCATTTAATTCCCAATTAGGGCGTGGCTGGACGTCCTCCTTTTCAAACAATCCCACGCAGCCATACAGATCTCTGTTATTGTTCACGTTCAGATCTCGCAATTTCAGGATGACGTGCCGAAATCTCAGAATCTCTTACAATTGAAAAATTAGGCTCAAGGCGCAAGCATCGCGGTCAATATATTTTTTACGAAATTTTATTTGGTGACGTACGCGTTCTATTCGGGCACTCACCAAAATCTGCTTCTGAGAGTTCAACGTCCCTCTAAACGAATTCGCTCGTATCCTCGCGTTGGATGCTCACGCGCTTGCGAGAGTGAATATACGCCATATATAGGACAAAGTGAGTGCGGGTTCTTTGTGCCGCGCTCAAGAAAAGTGCCATCCGCAATCTAAACGGAGGAGTTCGGGCTGTTCCTGGCAGCTGGAGTATTTGTTCGGAATAACTTGCATTCAATGCCTCAAAGCTACTTGCAGCACGCGGGCATACGTGACTGGGCGTGGGTGTGAATATGTCTGCACGTTGGCGATCCCAGAGCCTGGGTCAACGGACTCGTGATCAGTTTTTCCGAGAAATTTACTCTTGGGCGTAGTACTACGGAACGATATTCGTCGAATTCCATAAACCAACTTAACAAATGCGGGAAACTTAATATTTGAGATTCTACCGCAAAATATGGGATGGTATAGCATCGGTAGGAAAAAAGGAAGGACCGAAAAAAATATCAATACGGTAATACAAAAAAGTAATGACTAAAATGTCATTTAATTAACAACCAGAAAGCTATCATAGAACTGATTCTTCACCAAAATACCGGTGACTAAGCGGGTAAATAAAGACAAGTAAGAAAACGGGGCTGCTCCTGGTCAAGCCAACCCGTGATGACATTTTGCCTATGCCCCCCTCACCCGTACGCATTTTTGAACGCAAAAAAACTGAATAATAATTTTAACTACCGATTGCACAAATCCTACCGGTAAGGTTTAAGAAAATAATAGGTAAGTTATATTGAACTGTAGAACAATACAACAGACAGCGAAACCCCGCAAAAAGAGTACCGTATTTACTTGAATAATTGCCGCACTGTTTATGAGGAAAACCCGAGGGTTCGCTTTTCCGCAGAGCATGCGGCTTGCGAATCACCGCGAGCAGCAGCATGATTCGAGCGGTTTACAGGACAGAGATAATGTCTTCGCGCGAAGACAGCATCTGTGAAGATTGCATTTGTAGGGTGAATCGTGTTCTCGATCGAGTTATTCGCTATGTTATTTTTGCACAACGCGATGATTGGCTGTATATGTGCTCTGCGGTAAAGCAGACGCAAGGACCTTTTTCATAAATAGTGCGGCTATTACTCGAGTAAATACGGTATCTACCATGCTTAGAAACAAGTACGGTTAATTAAAGCAGAAACCAGACAATAAACAACTTGATATGAACAGTGACACGCGCACTCACTCTGTTGACTTGGGTAAGATCAGTTTCTCGTCTCTATACTGGGAAAGGTATATGTACAGTCCAATGTATGGTCGTCGGAAGGCAAGGAATTTTAAAACAATTGTCACTAAGATTTTCATAATAATTCGTTGCCAGTGAATGACAGCAAATGCTCAATGTGCAAGACCATTGCATTCAAATCTGCACAGGCTGTTCGAATGTAACTTGTGCGGTTGCTTTAAAATCTAGAAAAACATATTCGTCATAGCTTTGAGCACACGTTTCCGAGTACCTGCGATGGCTTGTATGTTAACTACGCACTTGGGAAGGCTAGCAGAGCTCTGAACGTTTGTGACCGAAACCTTTTACGCGCTTATCAACATTAAGACACTTCGTATTAAACTGACACGTAATCTTTACTTAGGCTGACAAATTATGATACATTACATTATATATTCATGATTATGTTGTCATATTGCGAAGGAAGATCAAGATCTGGGAGAATCCGACATTTTTTTTAGGCACCCCAGTTGACTATATTTTCGGAATCACCGGCCTGTACCCTTTCCGGTATGCTATTTATTATCACAAAATTCGGAATGTTTATTGTGAAATCGGGAAGTGAAAATGATGCCAAAACCAGCATTCAGATGCACCCGCGCTTTTCAGTGCCGTGGCGTCAGTGGAAGGCACACTCTAAAAAAAAACTCTCCTGCAGAACACTCGGAGAGCCGATCACCGCAACTTACACAGGCAGCTCAGCGAATGACGATGACGAAACATATGTTTAGACCAAAAATCGCAGTGTGAGTTGTGACATCAAGCGATGCAAGCGTGACGTTTGGCATTGCTTCATCATCATCAGTTATTTTCCTTGAGGGCCCGTGGGCATTATACAAGGGGGTGGCAATAGAACAAAAACAAATCGAACAGTGAACAAAATTATAACACTGTAAGCTAGGTAGGCAGGTTAGATAAAGAGAGGGTAACGGCTTCAACAAATTTAGTAGTATCATTAATAGAAACGATGTTATGAGGTAGTGAATTCCAATCCTCGATGGCCAATGGTAGTGTGGAAGTCTGGTGAGAAACAGTTGATGATCGATTTGGACGTAATTTACATAGGTTATCTAGACGCGGAAAATACGATGGGAAGGTGATACCAGTGATTCTTTGTGTTGGCTATTGTCATAAAAAATTCGGTGGAGGAGAGAAAGGCGTGATATCTGGCGGCGAAGGGAAAGTAAATGAAGGTTAGCTGATTGCCGTAATCCTGATATGCTGGTATATGATGAGTAGTTGTTATAAATAAAACAAATGGCTCTGTTTTGGACGAATTCTACACTATTTGCAAGGTAGGACTGCCATGGGGGGACCATATAGATGAGGCGTATTCTAACTTCGATCTTATAAGCGTACTATACGCTAGTCGTTTTACGAAGGGTGTAGCAAGTTTGAGGTTACGCCGCAAATATCCGAGAGAACGGTTAGTATCAGAAATAACAGAAGTTATGTGAGTAGTTCATGATATGTCAGAGGTGAGATGAACACCCAGGTATTTATAAAATGAGCATG